GGGAAATCATGGGGGGTAAGACAGACGAACCACTGGCGAATGGAGCGGACAACAGAGATATAGACGGATGGATAGTCCAGGAGAAGACAAATATACAGCATACAGGAATATACTCTCCTGGTGGTTATGTGGGGTGGGGGGTTATGCAAGGATGGGTTGGGAGATGGGAGTGAAGGGGGTTTTGACCTGGTGGTTATGTGGGGGTTATGGGTCGGTGGGTTTGGTCCTGGAGTTGGGTTGGTTGGGTTGGTTGTGGGTTTGTGGGTGTGATGGATGTGCGAGGTGGTTGTGGAGTAGCGCTGGCGGATCACTGGAGGTTAGAGGGAGGGCAGGGCGTGCGAAAAAAACACAGTTAGAAAAAGAAAGTGCCTCCCCCAGGCTCCCCCGCCCCCCCACCAGCCCCGTCCTCGGCCATTTGCCGCCCGCCAAAAAACGTTAAGGAACGTTAACTCTAAAACGCGAGATGGCGGACTGGTCCAAGCGGTACATTTTTTATTTTATATTTTATTATTTATATCTTTTTTAATTAATTTCCATAAATGCAATAATCAACCCTTTAAAATAGGAGTGCCAAACTCTTCCCCCGTTGTCACCTGATAAGGTAGTTGTCAGTTATCGGCGGCCCCAGCGCCCGCCAGAAGGCCGCGCTGGCGTTACAGAAAAGTTTGCTGAATATCGTTTCGGCGGTTTTGCGGTCCCGTCGCAGAAACGCCACCTTGATGTGCATCATGATGAACCTAGACGTGTATGGCAGTCCGACAGATGAACAGACAGACATACACACGAAAGCAATTAGGGAAGGTAAATGATGGAGTAGTTTGGGAATTGTTTTCAAGCGAGGTTACGTGGAGGGGGGATATGATGTGCGTGGGGGTTGAGGAGGGGGGTGAGAGGGGTGAGGGGAGTTGGGAGGGAATTGTTTGATGGTGATGATTTATGTTGATGGCGACGCTGATGATGATGATGATGACGTGTCAATCATGATGCTGATGACATCATCTGGCAATGATGATGATGGCAATATGATGATACAAGAAACATAAATCCAGCTGTCGGCACTTCCGCACCAGCCGGCAGCACGCCGGCACATTTTACATGCGAACGCATTTCCAGGGCCTCCTCCTCCTCCTCCTCCACCTCCTCCTCCTCCACCTCCTCCTCCTCCTCCTCCTCCTCCACCTCCTCCACCTCCTCCTCCTCCTCCACCTCCTCCTCCTCCTCCTCCTCCTCCTCCACCTCCTCCTC